ATAATAATAAAATAAAAATGGAAGAAATTAAAGTTAATTGAAACAAAACAAAGCAAAACAAAAAAAAAGTAAAGCAAAGTAAAATTGAATCGAGAGCAGGAATAAACAAAAGTAACGGGAAGATTTGAGAGTGAGAGGGTCAGGCAGAGCTGTAACAAAAGACCGCAAATGAAGCAGAAAAGGTAAAAAAAAAAAAAAAAAAAAGTAAGGAAACCCAAGTCGAAGCAACAAACGAGCAGTCATTGAGGGAGCAAACACGTGGACGAGACAGATCCAAGGGAAGGCCTGACTACAATGGGGATGTTAGCACCGAACGAGCCGAGAGGACCACTAGGGGGGGAGGAAAAAAAATGAACCCAGAGAAGCGATATGTATAATTTCGACAGTTATAGACTTGTACATACACATCATGTAAAACTGTGGAGGTCCCCGCGGACGGCGCGCGTTTACAACTGCGCACAACGTGAGAGGCGACGACTACTAATTGATAATAGCTAAAGGAACAAACAATTTGAAGAAAAAAAAAAAAAAAAACAATACATTTGAAACTTGTGTATACCAATCTGTAGAACGACAGTCCTTATTTTCCTTTTTCTCCGTTTACGGTTGGCAGCCACGCTCTTCTCAAGAACTAAGTGCTTTCCTCTTTTTTTTTTTTTATATCACGTTGATTTTTTTTTTTTATAATTTTTTCATTACTATCATTATGAGCGAGTTGGCGTTGTAGAGAATAAAACAAAAAAAAATTATAAAACTTCACGGAGTCGATGCAATTTTAGAAACGCGAGGGAGCTGACGTTGAGAGCCGTATCTCGACATCAACTTTCAAGAATTTTTTTTAGTTATTATTAGCATTGTCCTCAAATCTTTGTACTCTCTCTCTCTCTCTCTCTCTTGTTGCACACGCAACTCCAGAGTGCACAGCTTTGGTGGTTTTAGTTTAGAGCGAGGGAGCCCGAGAATTTTGTGACGATGCTAATAATTATTGAAAATTGGAGCGAGTGAACGAACGAGTGGGTGTTATAGTTGTACGTGCATGCGCGTGTGTATGAGAAAGAAAAAAAGAAAAAAAAAAAAAAAAACAAAGCGTGAGAAGTAAAATCCACAGAAATATATAAGGCAAGGGAAAAAAAAAAAATAAATAAATGAGACTATGTTTTTAAAGTGCGCGTGCTCAGCAAGTTTGGAGATAGCAGAAGGATGTTTGGCATTGCTAGCTTCCTTTCGAATGGTAATGAAAACTGGAGGAGGAAAAAAAAAAACTACTGATTAACAAGCATTGCGCGCACTTCTGCTTATACAATTATATTATTATACAAATGATGATGCATACCACAAGAATGTGAAGAAATGAAAAGATGAATGATGATGATTATTACTATTGAAGCATCAAAAATATTTCATAAGTTGTAACGACCATTTGTTTCTTAATCAATATATGTTTTTTCTATATCTCTCCGTATTGAGAAAAAAAAAAAAAAGTAAACAATAAAAATTCAGTAAGTGTTGACAGAAAAAAAAAAAAAAAAATGAAAATGTTAATATTGTAACGTACTCGGTGTCCTTCCCTGAAAACAAAACACCTGCCCTTCTTCCAACTGAAAAAAAAAATCAGAGTAACCCCGATAAGTAAACACTAATCCCTTGATTAAGGCTTTTCGTCTTACGCGAACCTTAAATCGTCTACTTTTTTAAGTGCCTTTTTTTTTTAAGAAAGATTAATGTGAAAAAACAAATTTTGCTTGATAAGCTATTATTTTAACAATTTCGTAGTTGTGTAATAAATAGAATTTTTTTTTGTTTTTTTTTTGTTTTTAATTTTGTAATTATACGTAGGGATTGTTTGATTATTAAGTGGTTTGCATTTTCTTTCTTTTATTACTTTTTGATTTTTAAAAAAACCAAGAATCAAGCGGATTCTTAATCTAGTTTAAGAGCAAGACTTTGTTGACGGCAGAACTATATGGAACTAGGCTTTTTCTATAAACAAAGTATTACATCGTCTTCAATTTTTTTGTTCATTATTGAAATAAATTATAGCTTATAAATTGTCGTATAATGTATAGAGAACAAGTGAAGAATCATTTACAGTCTCCACTTGATTTTTCACAAGATGTAACAATTGTGCATGAGAATAATGAAGAAAAAAAAAAATTAAAAAAAAAAACGATCACTGCAAGTCTTCAAAGCCAATGTGTAGCTGAGTTTCTATGTCTTGCGTAATATTCCTGTAATTCATTGCAACCTTATAAGAGAAGAAAAATTAATGTACTTTAAAAATACTTCGAATCCATGTAATGAGTGTAATTGAAGAAGAATAACAGCTTACGGTGAGAATAGGAAAAAATTTCTACTAGAGGTCACGTAAATTAATCACATTTTGAGTAGATTTGTTGTAGTAGCTACATTTGTATATTCTTGTAAAATTTACCTTGTTTCCTCATGTACGTACATATTATATTCGCGCACCTTGTTTAAGCGCTACATTCTTTTTTTTTACTTTGATGCATAAAATTTAAGGCCTTTGTATTTAAAAGATGGTAAAAACAAAAAAAAAAAATGGAAAGTTTCATAAAAGCTGACGTCGATGCAATCAGTCTGTTAATTTAAAAAAAAATATATATATTTCTCTTTTAAATAATTAGTTTTATTCACATTACATCAAACTAACATACCTGACAACTAAGTTACAAACCACAACAATGGAACAAAAACACATGTAATTTCGAGAAAATCTTTTTTCTAATGCATACTTTTGATGTACTAAAAATCATCCAACATGTCACAAAAAATTCAAACAAAGCCTATTCAGATTACATAGTTTCGTAAAATTAGCAAAACAAGTGTCAATTTCCCAATTTCATTAAATTTATGTTGTGACTATTAAGGCGTTTAACGGTTTCGTAAATACAGTTGTACCAAAAATTTTCTAAAATTTATTATATAAACGCTATAACGTAAGACATTAAGAGACATCCACACACTAGACAATAAATATTTTTACTGTTCATACAAGAAGTGAGAATTCGAATTAACCGGGATAATTTTATAGTGCTTTCATGTGTACATAATGTCATAAACGTGATCCAGCACATTGTTTCTATGACATGATGAAGTGACAGGCAAACTTTTTACTGTTAATTTATCTAATTGTATTTTTTACTTTTATTACATTCGCTATTGGCAAAATAATTCAAAATGGACGTATACATAGTAATGGTGGCCGTTTAAAATTAAACGTACCTACTACTTTTACTCTTGAATTCGTTCATTTAAAATAATCGTATCAAAGCATTTTATTAGCTACGACTTTTTTCTTTTGTGTATAATTATATATTTTTAATATTAATGCTTTGTTGAAAAAATAAATTTTCTCCAAGTTCCAGTGAAAATTGATCTGCTATACTTGTACTTGAAATTTAACGGACTTAGCAACTACTGAATCTAAAAAATGTTGTTACCCATGCACCTACATATGATTCTAATTTTTTGGTGTGGAATTCTTACTTTTAAAAAAAATTATCTGTACAGTTTGTACTTGTCACAGATTGCATTTAAAATTGCACAAGAAGTGTCAATTGCACTTTTAATAACATATGGCAATATATATTTTACTTTTTTTCAAAGCGACTAAAACGAATTTTTCAAAATGTAAAACAAAACAAAATTTTTTTCCCCGAGTATCGTTCAGGTACCCAAGTAAAATCTGCAAAGTAATTATATACACAATTTTTGCAATAATTGCAGATTAAACATAAATATGCTTACATTGGTTATGATATTTACACACTAAATTTAGGTCCTGTCAGTAGACTGAGCAAATTTTTAAAACAGAAAATTTATTTCCGCTCATTCGGTTATAATTAAAAAAAAAAAGTTGGTTGGAATAAAAAACTAATTCCATTTTTATTTAGTTCTACTATAATTTAAAAATTTTTTCCCTCATTGAAAAGTATATTTAATAGAGTGAGTAAAAAAAATTTTTTCTGGTGACTCAGTGTAAATATCATTGTGATTTTATCTAGTTCAATTTTATTTTATTTTTTATTTATAAGTTTCTCTTAAGATAGAAAATCCATCGCCACTACTTAACAAATCAATCTTTTCTTGAATTTTGAATATCGGCACTAGTTTTTAATATATTTTAGTTTAAAAAATGTTTTTTAACGTGGGTTTTATTACGGCATCAGCAATAACAGCTTTAGAGACATACGTAACAAATCAAACTATTTTTATGAAAAACACTGTACCAATCATCCAAATTTGTACTTTATTTTAGTCCTTTTAAATTACGGTTTGTCGGCACGAAATAAAAATCAATTTATTGATTAATATTTTTCCCGTTACAAAATCTTACGGCCATAACCTACAAGACTGTCACAATACGGTAAATGACGCACGTCACTCGCTTGATTAACTGGGCCCACGGATTTTCTACCTTAAAATTTCTATCAATCAAAGTTACATTTCACCACCTTGCATTTCGTATTTTCAAACATGTAATACCATTTAGAAACTGGACAGCAACTCGTTGACCACCCTAATTATTTGTAAACTAAATCCTTTTGCTCTGTTTTATCGACCAACGAACGTTTTTTGGTGCAGATTTTCACTTATCGACTCCTGGAAAGATTACGCTAGCGTAACCACAAATATCCTTAGGAAACCATATATACGATACGTCATATTCCATATTCCAAAAAAAATCACGCGTAGCGTCACGTGACTTAACAGGTTTTCTTCTAGGGTCCATACATTTTACAAATCAAAGAAACAATCATCGCACTCCCAAGGTACCAAAAACACATAAGCGTCCACCCGCACCTCGTAGACATCATATCGTTCAATCAACGGCAACGATAAGTTTCACACGAGTCGTCGATCATCGAGCAACCTAAGAGCGCTCAGAAGCAGGACGAGCACGAAGCTCGTCGACCTCATCTCGATGAGCCTCCAAGCGGAGACCGCGTTCGTGGCGTTGCAGCAATTGTTTATCGCTGCATTCAAAACGTTCGGATAGTACTCGTTCCAGAACGCCAGGGCCTTGTAATCAACGGCCGAGGAGTCGCTCATCTCGATGTTCCTTTCGATGATCAGTATGCCTGGGTCCTTGTCCGAGAACGGCTCCCACTTGATGGTGCTGATGGACGGGTTGCCGGTGCGTGCGAACGTGGCGAGCATCGTCATCATGAGGTCGGTCATTTTCTTGTCCGCGGCGTTCCACTGAATGTTCGTACCGGTCGCGTAAGGCAGACCCCAGACGAACGGCAATTCGAACATGTGCGGTACTCCCGCCCAATCAGGTACGTCCCGGGTGACGGCTTGGGTGCGCGCTCGGTAGTCGAACCTGTACACGAACGCCTGCGCTCGTGTGGAGTGACTGCAAGAAATCAATTTCGTTAATAATTGCACTTACATACATACTTTGTCCTTTTAAAAAGAAATGATGGGCTTTGTCGGTAAAATAATGCTCTTCCTTACTTACGGAGTGAAAAAATAATTTTTTCTAGCTGTTTAGAAAAGTTGAATCGTTTGAGAACATAAATGATACAGATAAAATAACCAACGAGAAGAAAACGCGTGTCGTTATAGTTTGTAATACTTATATTTGTCGGAACATTTTAAAATAAGATATGGTTCAATGAATTAGTACTTGGTCGGTAAAATCGTATTCCAAATTATCAACAGAACCTGGTGGAAAAACTCAATCGATTGAGACAAGATACCACGACAATTGAAATCAGGTTTAGGGCCGCATATACGCGTCCGCACGCGTTTGACATCCATCAGAATCGTGCCTAGTTCTTCACTGGCAACGTGCAAACCTTAAATAAACCACAAAAAGTGAGAATATATACGGGATGTGTTTGGGAGTTGAAGTTGGCAGCTCAGAACTATTAAGCACGATCCTGACGGACGTCAAACGCGTGCGGACGCGGCCTTACAAAGAGGCTACTCGGTCGGTAAAGATGGTGAAGAAGAAATGCGTGTCGTAAGTCGTAAGGACAACATAAAGCACACCTGGAAACTTTATCCGCCAACTGGGTCAAACCGGCAGCGTAGTTTTTCTCCGTCTGCAGATCGAGGAAGCGGTCCCTGAGATGTTTCGGGTCCTTGGTAGGGGGATATGGCCTGTAGTAAAACAGAACGGCGTCGGTAACGAGTTCGGGTTTCAGTTCGCAGGTGCTGTTCTCCTCGGGGGCGATGACGGCCGCGCTGCTCTCCTCCCTAATGAGGCTCTCGAACTGGTGCATCGGCAGTCTGCCGTCTACGTTCTCGCTGCCGATGGACTCGATGTAGGACAGCGCCTGCTCGTTGCTCGTGAAACCGGCCACGAGGGGCACGGCGTAGATCTCGTTCGCCTGGACCATGTCGCGCGGGTGCTTCGGCAGGAAGGGCCCGCCCGTCCAGTTGTTCGTGTCGGCGTCGACGATCGGCCCCCAGGTCTCGATGTCCGCCGTCTCGCGGATTAGGGTGTCGATCTCCACGTTGCGCAGGCACTCCATCAGATCGTCCGTGTTCCGGTAGCAGCCGAATTTGTCGGCCACCTGGTGGTCGAGCAGAATAAAAGTGATTTAACGTACCGCCTAGTCCAAGTGATACTTTTCAGAAATTTGTTTGATTATTTTTTGAAAATAAGTGCCAAGTATAAAACACTTCATTTTTTATACGTAATGATGTTTTTTTTTTTTAGATATTAACTTTTATTTTTATTCTAGAAAACCTTAATCTAGTTGTCTTAATGTTTCGAATGAACACAAATTTTTATACATTTTTTTCCTCGTAAAAATACTTTTTTGGAATTACCAATGGGAGTTTTTCGAAAGTTTGTAATAAATTAATTTTTATCTGCTACTTATATTCCCAAGTGAAAATAATTTTAGTAAATAACTAATGATAAGTAATAATAATCGATACTAAAAATATCAACGAAATCCAGATTTGAGAATAAGAACAACTGCTATTATTAATCATTACCAGTTATTACTATTCTTTTTATTTTCGTCCTAAATTAAATCTCAGAAAGAAAAAAAATGGATAACAACTGTTGATAAATAATATATAACTGAAACTCATCGCTTTTAATGTCTATTACTTTTCAGTAATTAATATAAAGTTTTGGTGTAAAACTCACAAAGATATTTTATAAATTACAACAAAATGTTCATAAAAATCATTTACCCTTGTTATTTAATAACGAAACTAATTCATTCTATGAATTTAGATTTTACAAACAAAAAACGATAACAGGTAATAATTATTGAAAAGATTTACTGATAGTCCACTATAGATGAATAACAAATATCATTATAATCTGGACTTTGTTAATATTTATTTGTCTACTAATTTTATTCATCACTTTTTAAAGTTATACTTCTATAGGTGCGTTCTACCCTACGGAGTAAATCAACGATTTCTGATAGGTGACCTTGAGAAAAAGTGTAACGGAAGTGGATTTTGCTTCATTCTCCCCCTTCGCCTCGCCCCTCTTGACGTACCTCCGGTCCCCAAGTATGCCACACAACGCCACCACACCACACATTTTGAATTTTACTTCTTTTTTTTTTTTAACCAATTCTTAAAAAAAAAAAAATCATATTGTTTGTATTGTATTGTGCAATTATATATACATTATTGATAATTGTTCAGTTATTAAATATTAAAATATTTATTGAAACCACACCCAACGAACGTAGGTATAATTTTTCCAACGATAATTGCACCACCCTCGTACACAGTATTGTTTCATGATAGATATATTTATACTTATAATTACTATCTACATTATTTGCCATATAATTTTATAGAAGTATAACTTTTTACTTGGGTACCCAAGCACCCACTGTCCCCTGGTTTTCATAAATAATTAAACAAATCAGATTATTTTCGCTTTTGTTGAAACGTAAATTTAAAATCATCTTAAACATAGTTTTCCTAGTGTATAAATACCTTTTTATGAATAAGTCACGTGATTATTTATGAAGAAAATTGAAAAGAAAAAAACGCGTGGCAAACATTTTTCGTTACCTCGTCGATGACGGTCATTTCCTCTTGGGGCATTCTCACGGAGCTAATGGCGTCGCCACTCATGGCAATGGCCTTGGCGAACTTGCCTCGGCTGAGTGGGCTCATCATGTGCAGGCCGACGCTTATGGCACCCGAGCTGTGCCCGTAAATGATGATGTTGGACGAGGAGCCGTCGAACAGCTCGATGTTGTCTTTGATCCAGTTGAGGGCGGCTATTTGATCCAAAAGGCCATAATTACCCGGGGATTCCCCATCCGCTGTTGTGAAGAACCCCAGGATGTTCAGCCGGTAGGCAACCGTGACGACAAGGATCTGTTTTATTTATTTATTTTTTTTCAATTTTTTATTTGATTACAGGTTTTTGATTTGAATATCACATCGATGGTACATTTATTTAGTTGAGGAATAACAATTACATCCAAACGTGCATGAAACTAGGGTACTTGGTACGTCTGACTAAACGCGGAGCTCTACTACTTACGGTTTGACATACAACACGTGCGCGCTGATTGCTATTGAAGTAACCCCGCAAACGAAAAGGTACGTATTATAAACTAAATATTATGTAAAACGACTGTAACTTTGAGTCGATGGATCATTTGAAGAACAAAAATTTTAGGTTTGTACCCATATTTATATGGAAAATACAAAAAAAACAAAAATTTTTTTACAATTTAAAAATTTTCATATTTGAGATCTTGAGAGGATCAGGATGAATTTTGTCCCAGTCTTTGGTGAATTTTCAATTCTTGTACGTTTTACGTAAAGAAATTTTTAAGTCCTTGAAGGAAATTATACAATTTGTTCTCGCACAGGACGTCAATAAAGATTTTTTTGAAAAGTAAAAAATTGTGCTATAACATAGACCCTTTAAACAAAGAAAATAATGTTTTTAATACGAAAAAATGCGACAGAAGAATAAACTTTTTTACGAAGACAAAAAAAATTTTTGTTTGACAATGCCGATGAAAAACACGACGGTAACGAAAAAAACAGCCTATTTCGTTATTTCAATGAAAATTAACGTACAATCAATAAATTTTTTAAATCAACAAATTAATCAAAGTACAGGGACATTGACACAATTACACAGCCGAAACCCCGAGCTTCGCCCTATTCTAAATCCACGTCCCAAATAAATAAACAAACAATTGAAAAACCCATCACCACCAGCTATTTTTGGGCGACCCTCAATGATAAAAAAAAAAAAAACAAAAAAAAAATAAAACAAGTTCAAGGCTACTGTAATCGAGGCCAATCAAACAGCCAATCGAAGCACCTGTCATTCCGGTATCAGACAGCCTGAATTTTTCATTGGGCATCGATTTCGAGGAGAAAAAGCGACGATAACATAACTGCCCCTGGTCGCGTGCGTACGGCCGCTTTTGGTCAATTTGTCGCGTGCGCGCATCGACTCGGCTGTCGATCCTATCGCCCCTGCTGTCGAGCACACGGTATACACACAAGGTGTGTGTGTGTGTGTACTTATCTTTTTCGCTGGAAGTAACAATGGGTAATTGCACAACTTAATTCTCGACTTCCAACATGCCCCTTTGAACGCGATAAGCACGGCAGAGAGCAGCTAATTATTTTCGCATGAGCATTTTTAATTGGCACTTGCGGCCCTTTTTACACGATAAACTGAATAATGCATGAAATGTACATGAATCACGTGGGGAAAAAAAAAGAAAATTTGCTGGATCGACTGAAAAACATTGTTGAAAGTAATTTAATAGTTGAGGCAAAGGAGGAACACGTAAAGATCTTTACGAGAATTAAAATTAATGAAAAAAAAAAGGAAATTTCGGACTCGTTAAATACATTTGTTTCCCACACGATTTCTGGTGCTGACGAAAAGCAGCACTTCTCCATACCCTTTTTTTTTCATGCATCCACGTGTCGTTGCGACCGACTCGATTATCGTACGATCGGGCGTGCGTTGAGTCGTAAAAAATTGGGTCAGTGTGCAAGCGTTGCATAGTATAAAAATCACGATGAAGCGTGTACGAAAAAAAAAAAAAAAAAGAAAAGAAAAATTAACATACTCGTGTCACCTTCGAAGCGCGTCATTAGCATCGCATCGATACACGGGGCGACGAGTTGAAAAAATAAAAACAGAAAAAGCTCGGGTGCATCGTACGTGAGAGGGTGGGTGATACTATACGTGTATAGGTGCATCGAAAAGTGGACGAACTTGACCTTCTGCTTGGAGACGAAGATGGAAGCGTCCCAGATGGCTGGCGTGCCGGTGTTGAAGTCACCCCCGTGAAACCAGACCATGACCGGCCAACCCTCGGATGGTCGAGCGCCTGAAAACGCGCGTGTTATATGTATTCGTGGCACATATATATTTATTTACAAAATTTTCCATTACAATAAAATTACGTGCATGTACAATCGACTTTTGTGGATGTGCATGTATACACGTGATGTGTCGGGAAGGAGGGATCGATTGAAAATGCATTTGTATGAGGGTTCCTTTTTTTTATGTTCTGGCACTTGTTTCTGTTTTTGTATACAGCAAAGGGGATCGACGTTGCATTAACGATGCATGAGCCGGGCTGTGTAGGACGAGGTATGTGGTATCAAGGTTGCGCGGCTTCTGGAGGACTGTATACCGCTGTACTGGCTGCGATTCGACTTTTTATCGATTCGTCTTGATAGGTTGGAGGGGTTTTTTCCTTGGGGGATTGTTTTGCAGCTCGATCTTGGGATTTTTTTTTTTTTACCAATAGTGTATTTTATTACATACAGGTAATTTAAATGTTTTCTACATAAACATTGTATGCGAAGGTAACTGGGTCAAATGTGTGCGAAAAAAATAATTAGGATTTTATTCTGATGTACTAGTGTAGTGGGGATTTTATTGAGCTCTATCAAATTTTTTCGAAAATTATTCTAAATGTTTCGATTAAGGATAGAAGAAAAAAAAGTTTTACATTCGTCATAACACAATACAATGCTTCCTATATGATTGGAAATCCTAATCGTAAAAAATGTTTCAAAAGCATTGATTTTAAGACTTTAAATGTTTGATTTAAATAAATATTTTGTGAAAACTTTGAAAGTGTTCTCATTTAAATTTTGATGATGTCGCAATAAGGTGTAATAATGAAACGCAAACGTTGTGTGTTCACTCTTTTTTTAGGGAAACGAGTAAACAAATTTTTTTAGCAACAGATAACGAACAAATTTTGTTTTTCAGGCCTCTATAAAGTAAAAGGGCAGGGAATTTTTTTATTTTTTATAAAACCTCTCTGCTATATGCTCGCAAAAAATTCATCAAACATATTGGAGCACCATTAGGTGAAAGTTATTTGTATTTTTCTCACTTTTTGATTTCATACGCATACACTTGTAATTGAAAATATAACAGAAAAGATACGCAGAATTCAGACAATGTTTATATAAAAGTAACGAATCACACAAGTTTTTAAATGATCTTTTCGTTCACTGCCAAGTGAGTGTAAAATTTATTGGTAAACTTCTACCTTTCGTACGTACTAAGAGTTAAATCGCATTTCATACATTTTTATGCAACTAATACAATCAAAGTACGTCTTACTATTTTGCTTCTCCCAACATAATTTCGATTTCTTCGCTTTACAACATTCTCTTTGTCATTTCTTCACTATTACATTATTTGTTCTCTTTGTAATTACTAACGTATCATTTTTCGGACTCTTCTCGCTATTCCTAAAGTTCGCCCTTTTGTTCATATTATATTCAGTTGCAATTTATACATTCCTCCTAGTCCTATTCCGCACTTAATCTTAGAATTTTTCGCATTTCTTACTCACTGAGATATCTCTTTGATAATTTATTTCTTCAGTATTTCTATCATCCTACGAATAAAATTGTCCTTTTCCCCGCTAAGCCCTAATTCTTCAATTTTTCTACCCATTACTCTTATATTCATATACTCTTTCGATTTTCTCCCTAGCTATTATGAAGTTCAACACATGCTGCAAGTTTCCTTGTTCTACTTTACAAAGCCTGCTCGCGGTAAAATACGTCTTACTATTTCATCAGAACTGATCAGGATGATATATTAAGAATTGAATTTTTTTTTTTTATAGTCCGTGATTGACAAGTTATTCAAATATTTTCTAGAAGTATTGTAAACTAAAAACTAGTAAACAAATAGAAAATTGCTTCTTGTACATCAAAAAAATTCCTTTATTGAATCCAAAATTTTATAATACACATTTTGAAGAGCATTTTATACATGAAAAATTAAATCTGCGTCCAAATGCATAAAGTTGAAAATATTTATTACTTTAATTACATTACTGATTCGAAATCTTTCAGAAATTATACATAGTTCAATGAAAAATTTATTTTCACCAAGAACAAAAAAAAAAAAAAAATACTTATACGTACCAAATTAAAAAACAAACTACTTTGGGATGCTTTTCGTAGAATTTAAGATATAGGATGAAGCATCATGAACGGATTATCGCTCTTAAGGCCATTATATATGAAAAAAGTCTGTAAAGAAGCTGAAAATAAGGATAAAATTATTATAAAATTAACTTTACGAATAATATCTAATACTTACACGACTTAAATATCTCATATCCCATGATACCAGTACACCAGGAATTGATACACCTAGTGGTTTTTGATTTCTTAATATTACCATGGACTTAGCTAATATAATCTGTCGATTTTGCTGATACCACGGGGATGAATATACTGAAAATCCAATGCTGTTTCCCTAAAGATGTAATTATTACATTAACTAGAAAATGTTTCGTTAAAATATCTACACTATTATGATTTTTTCTTACCGATTGCTTTATGTTTTCAGTACAGAGTGAGAATGTGTAGAGTCTCATGATGGCATTAATTATATTAAGCACTGATATTATTTGTCTTTCCGTCGTTAATTCAGACTGAAAAGAAATTTAACTATTTTTTAAATAAATTTTTACGTCATTTAACAAAAAACATTACTAACCGTTAACCAATTTAAACTGCTAATTATGACGTAAACAGATAAACTTATAACCGATTTAAAAATGTAAACTCTTGCCAGCTGGTTTGTTTTATATATGAACCTGCCAACAATCTATCATCAAATATTGCTGCAAAGTTATTATTTTAAACAAAAAATTGCAATATGCGCTTACTGTATTATGGATTGATGCTTACAGATACATCGAGTGAAGTCTTCGTAAAAGTTTGCATTTTGTAACTTTTCTTTGAGCTCTTCTAGTTCAATTGTTGGTAGAAAAAACAACATCGCAATGAGGCTGTTAATAAATACGAGAGAAAAAGCAGGTATTATTGCAACAAATTGATGAACATAAAGTAAAGTCCATGTAATTGATGAATTTATCGAAAATGGATAATCAATCAATAAAAGAAGTTGCACTGGTACACTACAAAGTGACTTATATAAAAACAAACTAATTGTAATTGTTACATTTCCTAACACTATAGCACTTAGTGTTATGTATCGGTAACTATGTTTACGTATTAGGGAGATTTTCTGATCATCTGCATCGGAGACGAAATCTTCAAAAACTTTCAACAAGTCCTATAAAATTATTTCTGTTATTTTACAAGCATTTGATTTCTAATAATTCAAAATTGTCAAAAAACATCCATATCACCTGTATCTTTGATTTTTGGGATTTATAATACAACAGCACAAAAGCAGAGTCAAGACAATATAATAATTGAAAACCACGTAAGAACAAATTACTTGAATCCAATCCAGCTTGATACATTGATAANCTGATCGAGTGTTTAAGTATAAACACCAAGACTAACTTTTACACGCGAAACTTCAGAACTTGAATGGTCACCCATGGTCTATCGCGCCAAGTAAATCCTAATTTAACTTTACAAAGTTTAGTAACTTGAAGATATGAATCCTCAAAAGATTATAAAAATTTGAATAAAATAATATTTTCTAACAAGTTTAACGTAAAAAATATGGCAAAAAAGATTGTCCCAATATTCAAAAATTTTAGCTATAAGTAAGTAAGATTTAAATATCAAGTAATACTAATAATATGACCATGTACTTTGTTATCTTTAAAGAAGTTTCACAATAGTATTAACAAAGACATTTTACAGAGAATGTGCGGTTAAGACTGAACTGTCAAAAATTTCCAGAAGCTCAATCCTTTGTTTTATCCAAAACAAGCATACCTTGACATTATGTCGGCATGGACTATAACGTTTAATGGATACACAAGACATAATTATTACGAAAACATAATAAAAACAAATTAATGGTATTAAAAATAAATACATCAGGTAAACAGTATTAGGTACAACACGTACCTTAGATCTGTTTATCCAAGTAGCTTAATTACGAAATGCATCATAAGTTTGAGAGAAAAACATGTTGACATGTTTTTTCATAATTGAAAGTTTTGGGTCGTTCCTACAATAATTCAACGAAATAATCTAAGAAACTATTGAATACACAACACAAAACAAGTTATTCACACAATACCATGCACATTATTTATGCCAAAAAAAGGTAGATAGTTTATTTCACATTTCAGAATTTTGGGTATTTCCCATAGTAATCTCTAATTAACACTAAAATTTAATATCAAAACAATCCATGTACCGTATGAGTTAAATTTAAAAAATTAAGTAACATTATCTACAAGTTTGATATTAATCACATTTCTGTCTGTAAATTTTGCAGACTCTGTTTTGTAGATTTAAGGATTGCGCATATTTTCGTTTCATACAAATTTTTGTATACACCAACAACAAAATGTTTTGTTTATATTTTTGTGCACAATATTTGTGCCCAAATCAGCACAGTTTTGTTTAGAGACAATGTTTAACCTTAACGTAACACATTTATAAAAATAGTACAGTAGATTTAGGCACAAATATTTTGCATACAAAATGTCAATGAAATATTTTTTGTGATCGTTATACTCGTTAGCTTAAACCTTATATTTTGTGTAAAATTTTTGTACATAACAATTGTGTGCACTGAACATAGTCTATTGTAGCTTTTTTATGGTCAACTCATTACGGAGCAATTATTATTCATCCACTATAATATAGGCCATAAACAAATCCAAAAATGAGAAGCCCGTAAATCGGGAAAATCAAAGCAAAAATTGCTTGCATAACGCTTTATTTAATTCTAGACGTCCTGTAATTAAGTCTTAGTTAAAACATTTTTTTTATCATCACCAGTTATTTTATAAATTCTTTATTATCTTTATTATTAATTAATTGAGTACTAAGATAAGTGCTAGGTACTTACTTTTTTTTTTATTTTACATGTAAAAGTGACTATTCTCATCATTCCAGTGGATCAACACATAAGCATTGATTTCATTAATTTCAGTCAAAAACCAATAAATAATACATCTGATGAGGGGTTCGAACTTTAATAATTAAAGACATACTACACATTACGTACATTTTTAGCAAAAATTTTACCAGCAACTTACTAAACTGTTGCATAATGAAAGATGCAAGAAGTTTCCATGTTTGAACTAATACTTTTATTTCAAGCTTTCTGTTGCAGTATATCTGCTTATTTCTTAATACTTGAAAGTATTACTAACTAATTACTTAAAAGTGAATATGACGTTGGATTAAAAAACTACGTTTAATACTTTTTTGATAAGAATAATGATAGTTTGTTCAATTACTAAAAAATTCTACTATTGTATATAATTCACCACTGATACATTCATTACTAAAAATAATTTTTTGTATAATATATATAGGTGGTGATTTTAAATAAGGTGAAAATGTATAATTAAAATGTGAAAAACAAACCTGTAAGTCATCAACGTCACACTAAATGCTGGTGTTACGAGAAGAGTAATTAGATGGGTGTATTTATGAGGTTGATGGAATAATGAGCTACTATTGTATCAAAATATGGTTACGAAAAAATTTATGATGCATCCTGAAAATTAACGTTAGCATATTTATTTTAAAATGTACAAGATAGTTAATTTTAACATTAATCCATCGAGTAACTGTGTATTAAAATGTAGATAGATTCATTTATATTCTCGACCCTGCACAACCTTTCTTGCGAATCATACATTTACCACCTCAATTTGAGTATATGCAACTTTAAATAATGGAAAAACGTGTGTTACACGCATTATTTAAGAAGCATACCTCGAATATATGTGAATAATAGAAGGTGCACAAGCCTTCAAAGCGTTCTTTTAATTAATCACTGCAAATTTTTGTCGCTCATATTACGACAAATTTTACATGTAACTCGTGTGGACGTTTTCCGTACTTATGTGATTGACTCGCACTCGTTGGTCCCAGTAACTCGTACCGTGTGATCAAACTCGTATCACACAATAGTGTGATCGACTGGCACTCATTCCCGTCAACTTCGACCACCAGTATGCATCAATCACAACTTTCACTTTTTCTTTATTAAAGTGCACAAAGAAAATTATACATATAATTATCATATATTTTACTTCAAGTTTGACATGCTTCAGTTAAATCTCGCTTTGCATCCTTAAGGAGAAAATGTTAAATACCACTTGAGTTGAGCGCAAGAATTTGCATCCTTGTGCGAACTTCGCGCTCTTCGACTACTTTGGGCCCTAGGGCGCAAAGTACTTTTCTGCCCATGGACCCAAAGTAGTTGGTGGGCACAAAGTGAAACTTTGCGCCCTGGTGGCGTAATGCACTATTTTTAAAGGGATCGATAATTGACAAGTTTTTAAATTTTCTAGAGGTATGATAAACAAAAATATACTAGCCTATATATTATATAGATAGCCCTCCGGGCCCAAAGTACTTTTCTGCCCTAGGGCCCAAAGTGATTTACTGGGCGCAAAGTGTGCCCATGGACGCAAAATTGCACTTTGCGCCCTCGGTAAGAAAAACATTATACGCGACTCGGGCACCAACCTACAACAAGCA